TGATCTACACATCATCCACATGGGTTCATCCCAGCCTCTGTTACAAGGCCTGGCCGAATTCACTGTAGGAGACAGTGAACCCTTGAGTCTCGGACTGTCCCAACATACCCAGGTTTTGACCCCCTCTAAGGATCTCACTGATTGGCATATCAAAGACAGCCCAATCCGACACCTAGTGTAATATCATAATCGAGTCTAGGGGTCAGTTGTAACATTCCAGTTTTGCCCATCTATCTCCAAGGTCCATGGCAATACTGGAATTCTGGTCCAGTTCAAGGTTTCAAGAAAACCCACATTGCATGTACCTCAGGTCTTACCCTGGCAGCTGAGACAATCTACCCAACCAACTTGGTGGCACATCAGTGTCAGCCTTGGCAAGATAAATCTCCCCAGATCTATCCAACGGCTGTGAAGATTCTAAACTAACACGAGTCTTATAAGTGTCCAGTTTAAGGTATTACAGAGAAACACACCACAATAATATGAATCAAATATGTACTTTATTCATTTACAATAAATGTCATAATGTACATCATTCTGATTGGAGCTAAGGGCATACACTGTGTAACACCACTTCCACTTTGGCTTCCACTTCCCACAATAGACTCCTCAAATTTAGAATTAGGAGCCTTACAACTTCCTTGTTGAGGAGTCATAGGTGTACAATTAAACCTCTCAACACTAGACACATAATCAGACTTCTTCTTTTTCTCAACTTGAAATTTAGTAAGTGTATTTTGACATCTTAATCTTACCTCTTCATGGCATTGTTTGCACTCACTCATTCCATGTTTGGTGCTAGCCAAATGATGTTTTAATCGGTTTATGCCTCCCGTGTACAGTTTACTACAAAATGCACAATAAATATAGCCTTTTTTCCCATCCTCTTCTTTAACATATGCCCAAGCAAAATCCTTTCTAGACATTCTAGGTTCTTGATGAAATAGAGAGCAAAGAAGTGATCAAATTGCAGCACCTAATTAAATTAAAAAAAAGAGTATGAGTTAAAATTCACAAATTATAATTTCCATCATTCACTTGAAGTTTCTAGTTTCTACTTTCTATAAGTATTCAGTTTCAAGTAATTCACAATCACAATTCACAAATTATTATTTAGTCACACACAAGAGGCAAGGAAAATCAATAAATCAAAAGAAGACAAAATAGATAGATCATAGAAGTAACAGACTGATAGAAGTTCAAGTTACTTGAAGTCTGAAGAGTTGAATTTGAAGGCTGAACTGATGAAGCTACAGCCAGCAGTTGGGTCTTGGCCTATTCGGTCCACTAAATGTGTTCAAAAACGAAAAAGAAAAAGAAAAAGAAAAAGAAAAAGAAATGAGGAAGAACAGATTACAGAACAGGGCTTTGTGGCATTTTATTTATGCAGCTCTGTTCAAGCTCAAGGCTGAAAACAGAGCTACTAAAATGAAGAAGAAACGAAACAAATAAACAAAGAAAAGAAAAAAGAAATGAAGAACAGATTACAGAGCTACCGAAATAAATAATAAAAAGCATAACTGAAACTGACTGTTGCAGCTTGATGGTCGAACTGTTGAAGTTCGCAGTTCACAAGAGTAGAATGCTTGCCCTTTGCCATTTCACAGGTCACAAGCTCACAGCTGCCCAGGTTCACTCCAGCAGTCCTGCTCTTTCTTCGTTTGCAATTGTAAATAAAAAGAAGAAAAGAAAAATAAAAGCACCCATATCTGAGATTTTGAGTATGTGACGTTGAAGAAGAAGAAGAAGAAGATGAAGAAGAAGAAGAAGAAGAAGGAAACAAAGAAAGGAAAAGAAAAAAAATACACATACCTGAATTGATCGATTGAAGTTGCCGGTTGAGACTTGAGACTTGTTCACGGGTTTCAGAGTTCACCTCCCTCTTTCGAGCCCTAATGGTTTGGTTTGCAAAATGAATTGAAGGAGGGCTTTTCCCCCCTCTTTACACTTAAAAAATGATTGTATACAATGGGGGCCATGATATAATCGTGGCCCCACCAATCAGAACATAAAAAAGTTAAAACAATTAAGCTGTTAAATGTTTAAAATGCCACACATGAGAGTTGTAAGCCTCTTGTCAAAGGCTTAACAGAAGCATACGCCTCCTTGGAAGTGTACGCCTCTGTGCACGCTTCAAGGGTATAGGCGCTTCTTTCATGTGCCTCAGGGCGTTTTGGGAGCGCCTTGCTTGGAGGCCGCCTCCAGGCGTACGCCTCCCACGCCTTTTAAAACACTGCTGTAAACAACAATATGACATACTGACCTAAAATCACTTGACATACAATTGTATACCCATAGAAAACTAGGGTTGGGGCGAAAAGAGAGATGTTGCAGCTACTCTTAGCAGCCTTCACAAAAGGCTTTCCAATGGCTGTAAATCTCTTTTTAGGTTCAAAATATCTTGAAAAAAACACGAGCACCAGCTCCAAACTATCTCCTTAGTGCTCAATCTGAATGAGGTGTACCTTCTCCAGTTGGTTCTGGTTTTTGAGCAAAAAAAACTCGGGACTCTGGGACAATTTTTGAGTCTCCAAGGTTCTCCAAAAACTCTTGAAACACTTCTACCAACTGAAGGGATGGGAGATCCATCATATGGATGGCCGAACCCTGCAGGAAGGTTGGGCGAATTTTCAAAAATTTCTCTTTCCCATCCGGAAATCGTATTCCCTAATTTAGAAAGCTACATTTTCAAGGTTCATTCTTGAATAAAAAACCGAATCAGATCTGAAAACAAAAGAGAGTGAGGGATATACCTGATACGAAGTAATAGTAACTCCCGACGTAGGTGTTCACGCCCAAAGAAAAGACCAAAACCCACTTCCACTGAAGATGACACAATGTGTTGTGAAGTAGGATCAGTAGGATGGTTCTTCAACAAGAACCTGAATTCTTCAGCAAAAATCGAGCAAGGGCTGGTGAGCACGACTTCAAATTGTTTCTTCTACCAAGAAACAATATCAACAACTCTTCTTGATCAGATCCACAAGTGGAGATCGAACTGGGGAAGAATTCTGCAGTTTGTTGTTGTGCATATCTGAGGAATACGCCCCCTTATTTATAGCCTTCTTTGGATCAACCTCCTAATCTAATTAGGAGAGAGTTTCCTAATCCAAATATGATATTTGGATCTGGACTCTTAAGTGGATAAGACTTCTCTTATCCTTCAGCTAATCCTAATCAGCTTAAAAGCTGAATTCGCCCCCTTTCAATTTAACTAACTTAAGCCCAGTCCGAATTGGGCCTTAAGCCCATTAAGCTTATGTGCTCACTTACTCTTAATCTACTAGCCCAGTTGGCTCTCTTTGTATGGCGTGGGACCCTAACATTGATCTACACATCAGCCACATGAGTTCAGCCCAACCTTTGTTACAAGGCCTGGCCGAATTCACTGTATGTCACAGTGAACCCCTGAGCCCATCACCATGGGCTCTTAATGGGCCCAACATTTACACAATGGTTCTTGGATCCAGCCACCTTATGAAAACCCAAGAACTGTGGGCAGATGCAAGATTAGCCCCATCAGGTATTACCCTAAATGGTCTTATACTTAACCTCTTAGCCCTTAATGATCATACACTGCCCAACAAGAGAGAACCTCTCCCTCGGCTACAAGGTACAGTGCTACACTCTTTACTCACATGGATCCTGGGAATTAAAACCTTTTGCAAATAATTTGAAACCATAATATATAAGTATATCTTTATATAAATATATTTTGCAAAACCAAATTTCAAACACATTTGAAATCCACTGCCGGCAATTTAGGTTTCCATAAGAGAGAGTGCATTCCCCGATTATTCACTTTGTCCGACAAAGGGGCTGATCCTGTCACTATGATCACCCACTCAGGTGAATTCTCGAACTGTCCCAATATACCCAGGTTTTGACCCCCTTTAAGGATCTCACTGATTGACATATCAAAGACAGCCCAACCCGACACCCAGTGCAGTACCATAATCGAGCCTAGGGGTCAGGTGTAACATTCTAATTTTGCCCATCTATCTCCAAAGTCTAGGGCAATACTAGAAATTGGTCCGGTTCAGGGTTTCAAGAAACCCACACTACATGTGCCTTAGGTCTCACCCTGGCAGCTGAGACAAGCCACCCCAACCAACTTGGTGGCACATCAGTGTCAGCCTTGGCAGGATAGACCTCCCCAGATCTATCCAATGGCTGTGAAGATTCTAAACTAACACGAGTCTCATAAGTGTCCAGTTTATGGGTAAAAACACAGAAACACACCACAATGACATGAATCAAATATGTACTTTATTCATTTACAATAAATGTCAAAAGATACATCAATCTGACTGGAGATAAGGGCATAACTGTTCAACCCCAACCAGGCAATATCAGTTACTAATGATTAGCCACTTAACCGCCATACACCCTGCTGATCTATTAGATTATGGCTTTGTAAAGAAGATGAAAATAGGAGCACTGTAATGATACCAAGATGTGATTTAGACCAGCAAATATTCCAATGGATATTCAGTGATTTATGCGTAAAAATCAAGAAGAAAGTGTTCAGAACAGAGAAAAAGGGAAAATAGAAGAAATGGGAAGAGTTTAGGGCAAGAGGAGAATGGAGTATGAGGTTTCTTATCTGTCCCACACTCTTCATATAATCAAATTAGTATTAACTTGATGGACAATGACATATCTGCTCCTAATAAGTCCTAATTTTCTTTCACTCTTCTATCTTTTCTCTTTGAAGGTGTGTGGTTTGAAAGAGATGAGAAAGTGTGTGTTTGTTAATTTTTTAGTTTAAATTCCGAATATGAAATCCACATATTTGATAAAAGATTACTAGAATAACATGTAATTAATGCAACTGGACTTACCTTGTCATTTGTCTATTTTTTTCGTTCTCTGGAATGTATCAGTATCCAAATACTTGAGCTGCTTCCATGACTTGTTTGTTTCAGCTTCTTGCAATATGTCTTCTTAATTCCATTTACATTTATGAGTTCCATTCATTTTCTGTATGACATTAGTAGGTTGGGGCCCAGACTTCCATCAAAAGCTTAGGATATGGTTCACTTTCTTCAAATATAATGGGACCTGGACAACCATTGCATCATGATGAAGTTTCATTTGTATCAAAAGCCTGGAAGACTATAAAAGAACCAATTGGTGCATGGGGTGAAAGAAATTTCACTGTGCAAGGCTTATTGGAACATTTAAATGTGACAAAAGACACTAGTGATTACTTGTGGTACATAACCAGGTACATCGGTAAAATATACAATTGATTGTGGTTTTATCAGTATCATGTGCATGCCCATCTGATAGATTGCCTGAGTATACTCAACTAGCTTTTTCCAAATTCAGTCTGATATATTTTTTGCTTATGTTGTAGTAAGTCCTGCAGTTTTTTTTTCTTTCTTTTTTTTTCCTTTATGTATAATATTATTTTAATTTGTCTTTCTTTTTAGATGTAAAACTGTCCTTCAAATCTGATAATTAAACCTGATTAAGCAATAAAAGAAGAAGAAAGAGAAGTGATTACAACAGAAGGAAGAAGAAGATGAGAAAGGAGAAGAGAGATCGATGGTTTCCTCCTCTCTCTCTTAATCTTTTATTAAACTCACTTAATTATGACTAATTACATATCTGCCCTTAAGTGGGTGGCCAGAACTTAAATAACTTAAAAGAAACACTAAACAAGTTAGTAGGCCCATAATGAAAAAGGCCCTTTAACACATACAATGTAAACATGGTCCTACTTAAATCATAAACAAATGCAAGGGCCCATTCGGCCCAGTCTCTCTACACTTCCCCTCAAGATGAGCATAGATGTCAATCATGCCTAGGTTGCTTATATAGTGAGTTAATTTTCCTTTTGGAACACCCTTGGTCAATATATCAACCAACTGCTGCTCTGGAGCAATAAATGGCAAGCAAACTTCCATTGAAGCAACACTTTCCCGTATAAAGTGTTCGTCGACCTCTATGTGCTTAGTTCTATCATGCTTGACGGGATTTTGTGCAATGTTGATGGCTGCTTGATTGTCACAATAGAACATCATTGGCTTTTCATAGTCAATACCCAACTCTCCCAAAAGTGATCTCAGCCACAATAATTTTGACACTCCATGTGCCATTGCCCTATACTCTACTTCAGCTGAAGATTTGGCTACTACAGACTGTTTGTTACTCTTCCATGAGACAATGTTCCCCACTACCAAAGCATAGTATCCCGAGGTGGATCTCCTATCATCAATACATCCGGCCCAATCAACATCAGTGTATGATTCCAACTTCATGTGTCCATGTTTGGAAAACATGATACCTTTCCCTAGAGTGCCTTTCAAGTAACATAAAACTCTTTCTACAACTGTTAAATGTGTATCTCTAGGAGAATGCATAAATTGACTAATAACACTCACTGCATAGGAAATATCTGGCTGAGCCATATAGAGATATAGCAACTTCCAAAGTAGTCTCTGGAACACTTCCCTATCAGACAACAATTCACCATTAGTAGTAGAAAGCTTATGATTTAAGTTTATTGAGGTGGAGGCTGATTTAGCACCAAGTTTGCCAGTCTCTGCAAGAAAATCAAGGACATACTTGCGTTGAGAAATGAAGATACCATCCTTAGATCTAGCAACTTCAATTCCCAAGAAATATTTGAGATCCCCCAAATCTTTGATTTCAAATTCAGTGTTAAGAAACCTTTTGAGCTTAACCGCTTCCTAGGTGTCATTACCAGTAATCACAATGTCATCAACATAAATAGTCAAAAAGGTGACCAAGGAATTACTTATCTTCACAAATAAAGTGTGATCAGATTGAGTCTATGTGTAACCAAAAGAAATAAGGGCAGCTCTGAATCTCTTGAACCAAGCTTTAGGAGACTGTTTGAGACCATAAAGGGATTTTTCAATTTACACACCTTCCCTTGCATTTCCTTCCCATACACTCCTAGAGGTAAAGGCATATAGACCTCTTCATGTAGGTCTCCATTCAAAAAGGAATTTTTAACATCAAATTGATGAAGGGGCCAATCAAAGGTAGTAGCTAGAGATAACAAAACTTGAACTGAAGTCATTTTAGCCATAGGAGCAAAGGTCTCAAGATAATCAATCCCATACATGTGAGTGTAGCCTTTAGCAGCCAATCGAGCCTTAAACCTCTCAACAGTACCATCAAAATGGTACTTGATAGTGAACACCCATTTACAACCAACTGGTTCTTAAGCAAAGCATCTAGCTTAGTCATCATAGCATCCCTCGATTCTGGTTTGGATAAGGCTTCTGGTACAGACTTGGGTAAAGAAGGCTGTAGGACAGGTGTTTGGAGATGTAATGTGTTGTACACTTCCGCTTGCCTTTGCAAAGGGTAATAGGAAGGTCAAGGTTTGGAAAGGTAGCAGATGGGTAAGAGGAAGGCTGACCTGTGACCTCAGTAGTGATGGAAGGTGCGTGAGGCTCTGTTGAAGGAGTGGAGACAACTTTCCCATATAGCCGGGGGCATAGCAAACGGCTCCTCGGAATGCTCGCTCTTGGGGGAAGTACCAAAGAAAGGAATAGACTCAGCAAATGTGACATCCCTAGAGACAAAGCGGGTGCCATGAACTAGATCAAAACAACAATATCCTTTCTGTGTGGAGGCATATCCTAGGAAGACACAGTTGTGTGCCTTAGGCTCAAATTTGTGTCTTTGATGGTTTTGAAGATGCACATAACAGGTGCACCCAAAAACTCGGAGAGGGAGATAAGAGATCCTCATCCAGAAAGAGGAGGCTAAAATGGGTTTTGAAACCCAGAACCTGGGAAGGCATGCGGTTAGTATGTAGCAGTAAGAATAACATCCCCCC